ATCGATAATTTTTAATCGATATATATCGATTAACTGCTATATATCGATATATATCTGCTTAAAAATTTTGCTGATGAATGATGATTCTCAAAGAAATACTAAAACTATTATACAAATTAATTAAATACAAATATTGAATATTATATCTATCAATTATAACCAATGTTGGCATTTTATTATACTTTGTTATTGATATATAAATTCTATTCTTTTTTTTATTTTTCTATTGTAAATTTTTGATATTAACCTTTATTAATTAAATATACAAATATTTTAAATTTATTACTTTACTAATGCTTTAACAATATATATTTAAAGAATTATAAATTATTATTAATAAAAAAATTAAGTTTTTGTTCTGAATCATAACAATATCTATAAGATAATTAATACAAGATATGGTATAATAATACATACAAGAAGATATAGACCTATATAGTAAGAAATAAAATAAGAATATTCGAAGACGATCTTAGAGTTATTAGCATTTAAGCAATTTTGATATTCATGACATGTAATCTATATGATCTTAATTAATGGTCATAAATCACAGAAACAAGATATAATAATACTACAGCTAATATCTAAGTGTTTAGCAATTTTTAAACCAATAATATTTCTCTATTGTATATATATGTTGTACTCAGATTTGAAATCTGCCTGATTCAGAATCCAGCTGCCCCGATTCAGAATCAGGATGACCAGATTTAGAATTCTTATACGGAATACCCAGCTCACTATACTAATATTTTAACCCTAATCCTAACCTTACTAATTATTGAACCAGGTACCCGTATAAGAATTCTAAATCTGGCTACTCTGATTCTGAATTGGGATGGCCAGATTCCGAATCAGGCAGATTCTAATCTGGGTACGACATATACATACATTTAAAAATATAAATGAGTCCAGTATTACTAATCTTTTTAAGATAAAAATTTAATACTTTTAAAATATTTCAAAATGATTTAAGAGATTTTATATCTAATTAATACAATCAAGTTGTAAAATTTTTATATTTTCAATTTTAATTAATATTGTTATATTAATAACTTTTCATGCAATTAAAAATTAAGATTCTGATAGATTTTTAAATAAAGTTATATTATGTATTAACAGATTAGCAAAGTTTTCTTGAAGCTATAACAATATTCCTTGATACCTTAAAAAAAAAAATATTAAAATAGTTATAAAATCAACACAATTTATATATATGACTTCAGAGTAGTCAACAAAAAATATATAAAATAAGTAGCTTCATTTATCCTCTAGTAAACCATCGAGTCTAATAATCCTACAAGACTTGAAATTCCAAGTACATAATGTATCAAATACCAGAGAACTATACTTGGAATTCATATCTTCCAGGTAGGTTACTTAAATCTACCTACAAAATATTGTTCAAAGTAAGTTATACACCCTCATTGACTTGAACAAGACTATATGAGAACTTATTTTTCATATTTATACTATTAACTATTTGCATGGAGTCATACCTTATAAAACCTCATTTATTTCTGAGTTAGTGTTAACTGTCAAGTTCTGTAATAAAAAATAGATAAAATAGTTAGCTTAATATACAAATTTCTCATATAAAGAAAAAACTAATAACTAATCTTTAATACTTACAACATCAAATACCAAGTTTACAAATCAAGTAAAATTATGAATTTTCTCCTTTTCATTCTGTTTCTCAATTGTCTTTTAAATATACACTATATACTCATCATCTTTTAGTACAAGCTTTATTATTTTCTGTTTATGCACTTCTATTAATTTTCAAGAATATCTAGAACAAACTCAGCCATTTCACAAGAATTAATTTCATCAAATTTTCTTTTAAATGGTCAGAGTTGGTTTTTAAATTTCTTATTTGTCCACTGCTGAATTATTTCATTTTCAAATTTTATTTTATTGGCATACAGAAAAAAACTAAATTATATTATCATAAGTGACATTATGAGATTTTTTATAGATTATTCTTAAATATCTACCAAGGCAGAAAACAATTTTGCATACTAAATATGCAACATTTTGAAGATTAAGGTCACTCTATCTATCTTGTTTATCTACGATTATTTTATATACTATCTTATTTCTAATATTCTTGAAGTTATTTAGTAGTTCAATAGAATCTTTCTTATATCAGCTATAAAAAACTGAATGTTTCAAAAAAATATCAATATTTTCAATAATAAAGTTTAATATGCATAATACATCAGCATTTGCAAAGTTAGAACTAATTTGAGAATTTTGCTTAGTGGTAAAGAACTCAATAATTTTAGAAGAAATGATATACTCGTTATCAACAAGAAATTTATAAAAAGCTTTTTCAACAGAATTTATATGAGACTCAATAACAGCTTCTTGCTCATCATCAGTGAAAGAAAAGACTTGTTTCACCAGTAGAGGCAAATATTCATAAGCTTTTACGTTATTATTGTATTCATAGAAGACTTTATATAGTTCAGTCGCATTATTATTATAAATATTGTTGACTGTTGCATGTGTTCTAGCAATAGCAGATCTGTAAAATCATGCTTTTTTCTTGAAAACTACAATTGGTTGTTTTTTTAGCCAACCAAGTAATGTAATATATACTGCAGATTTTTTGTAGAAGGCTTTATTACTAGTTAGAATATTTT